GTCCTGTGCTGGGGCGCTGCTTCCAGACCCGCACCCTTGAAGGCAGGGTGCAGCTGGGATCCTGGTCTCTGTGTTTTCAATATGGTGGCCATGGGGACATTTGTTTTCCTTGCTGTGCCTGGCATTGGATTCTGCTCCTAGAATGTCTCTTTCAGTGTATGATGGTGGTCAAATGAAGGCATGAAGGAAGTAATGGATAAATGGCTGTACCATATGAGCTCTGTTACATGTTCTCAGGTCTAACTCACTGGTTTAGGGTTGCCAAATGAAATCCAAGATACTTGGTTAAATGTGCATTTCAGCTAAGGGATGAATACTTTTAAAATATAAATATGTTCCCTGCAGTATTTTTAATTGCTTAATCTGGCAACTCTACGCTAATTCCTATACTTCTTTGGAGTCACAGATGCCTGAGAGAAACCCAAGAACACTGTGCACACTTCTCCCCACCCCCAGAAAAGTGCACATATAAACATGTACCAATGATTTCAGAGGGTTCCAGGATCCCCTAAGCTGGTCTATCCCTTCCTACCAGGACACATGCTTTGATGTGGAGGCTAGAGGGAGGGCAAGTCAGGGATGGGGCTGGCTTTGGTCCAATGACTAAAGAAAGTGTGGGCTGCAGCCTTTTGGGCTGCTGTCAGGTAAGCACGTCTGCTGCACTCTCTGATTTCTGAGACACTGTCATATAAAAAAAACCTAAAATTGAACTTTAATAAATTAACGCTTATTATTTTATTGAAAACTACCCCTCTTTCTTGCCTGTTCTTTTGGAGGGAGGAGCCATCGGTATGGAAGCCTCAGTGTTTCAGCTGATTCCCAAGGTGGTAGGACCAGGAGCAGAGATGAGAGTGGGGTGGGGCCAGGACACAGGCAGCTTGACATTGTCTCTGACACTTCTAGATTGCCCAGCAAGGCCAGGGCAGGAAAGTGTCTGGCCAGACCACAGGGCAAAGGGAGTGAGGGAATCTGACCTATTTTGTCTTCACAATGGAACTGCTTTTTTCCTGGGGAAAAAAAGAAGAAAAAGAACGGCAGAATTTAGGTATTTCTTCTCCATAATTAGGCAGTCATGCAGCAATTATGCAACTACTGTGTGCTGTGCTATACACACATAGGGTGAGCAGGGAAATTGATACTGGGGTGAAACAGATGCAAGCTCTATCCTAGAGGATGTCACATCTAGGCAAAGGGACAGATCCATGGATAGTTCACTGTAGAATCTAGAAGAAAGGGAGCTTTCCTTCTTTCCTTCTTTGTTAAATGTCTGTTGTATGCTGGGCCCTGGGCTAGGTGCTGGGGCCAAGGAGGGAGATGCTGGGCCTTTGGGAAGAGCAGGTAATTAATATGAAGCAGGTGAGATGGGTAGAATTTAGAGGCTTGTGTGATTGGGTTGCAAGAGGCTCGCAAGCAAAGGAACAGCATGGGCAAAGGCGTGAAAGCTGAAAAGCTCAAGAGTGTTTTGCAGTTCTTGGATTTAGCAGATGTCTAGTCATTTGAAGCAAAAATTAGAGCACACAGGATGACAAAGGATTTTTTCCCCAAGTAAGTGAATTTATTGGAAGAGTGTGGCAAAATAAAATTAAATCACTTTTAATGATACATTTCACTTCTTGGCTTGATTAAAAAATTATTACAGGAAATGGGATCATCTCAGAAAATCAGGGGATAAGGTCACTGTAGCTTGGGTTTCAAAGTGGGAGTCCCAGGAGAGAAGACAGGGCAAAGGACCAGATTGAGAAGGGGCTTACACACTGGGCTGGGGAGGTTGGACTCTGTTCTGCAGACAGCAGGGAGCTATGGAAGATTTGGGGCAGTCACTTTAGGAAGATTCATTTGGAATGTGTCTTGCTAATGAGGACTGCAATCAGAAAGAACCTCCCCCACACCCACTGCCTTTGTGTCTTGGCTCTGTGCTCCTTGGGGAAGGGCCCCTCTGCACCCCTTCCTCATTATGCCCTGGCCTCCATTACTTAGGGGAGGCACTCTCAAAACACAGACTCTGCCCCCCAGGGAGGCAGACTGGCTGGCGAGAGGGGCAGACACATGGCCACTTCATTAATTTAATCATATTTACTGAGCACCTACTATATAGGACAGGGTTTGGTTTGGACTTCATTGGGGTGGGCAGCGGTTGTGTGTCCATAACCCTCCTAAAATTGGATGCAAAATTTGATGGTATGTGAACCTTCCTGGAGGGAGGGTCCCTAACTTTCATCAGATTTCTAAGGCAAGGGACTCAAATGCAGCTTCCATAGGGGCAATGGGAGTGGTGGGGGTCTGTGGAAAGCTGGAACTTACTGGGCATGAGCCCTCCATGGGGACAAGTTTAACAAACACACAGTGCTTACTTTGGTGTGAGTGCTTTAACTCTTCGCAACAACTCTGTGAGGTGGGTACTGTTATCACCATCCCTACTTGATAGATGCAGCAATTGAGGCACAGAGTTAACTCGCTCAACTTAGCACCAAGATCGGAAACCAGGCAGTCTGGTTCCAGAATCTGTGCTCCTGACCACTGTAAAAAAATCCGTTGTGTGAAATGAAGGGGCCGATAACTCAAATGTCTCTAATACAACGCGTTGGTCAAACAAAATTGGGCCTCCCAATTTGCAATGTCTGTTGTAAAGGACCACCTTCAGGGAGACCAGAGGGAAGGGGAGAGCTGGGAGGGGTAAGGAGGGGACAACCTTGGAGGCTAGAGGGCCAGGGGGTTGGCCAGGACAGGAGGGAAGAACTGAGGTTCCTCCTTCTGCACCTTGTCCTGCAGGAAGTGGCTGATGCCCTGGGAGGGGGTGCGAACCCGGACACCAATTCAACCAGTAACAGCAACCACTCAGCCTGGGACCTGGGCAGCGCCTTCTTTTTCTCAGGCACCATCATCACAACCATCGGTGGGGGAGGGGACTGGGCATGTGCAGGGGGGAAGGGGTGGCTGGGCTTTCTCAAGGGGGAAGAAGGGGGCGTGCCAGGCAGCCCCTAGACCTGCTGCATGGCCCCTCTGCCCAGGCTACGGAAACGCAGCCCTGCGCACCGACGCCGGGCGCCTCTTCTGCATCTTTTATGCACTGGTGGGGATCCCGCTGTTTGGGATCCTTCTGGCAGGGGTCGGGGACCGGCTGGGCTCCTCCCTACGCCGCGGCATCGGTCACATCGAAGCCATCTTTCTGGTGAGCTGCTCCACGCCCTGCGCTCCCTTGCGTTGGGCTCGAGATACCCTTCCCTACGTCCCGGCCCAGCACATGAGGGCGGGCGCTTGGATCCGGCGAACCTCCCCGCACGCGGGCTCCCGGAAGAGGGGATATGGGGATGAGACTGGAGGTTTTGGCGACTCCTCGTTCCTGCCTACTGCCCTTCCCTGCAGAAGTGGCACGTGCCACCAGAGCTGGTGCGAATTCTATCCGCGGTGCTCTTCCTGCTGATCGGCTGCCTGCTCTTTGTCCTCACGCCCACGTTCGTGTTCTGCTACGTGGAGGGCTGGAGCAAGCTGGAGGCCATCTACTTCGTCGTGGTGACGCTCACCACGGTGGGCTTCGGGGACTATGTGGCCGGTGAGGCCACCTTCCTTGGGCTGTACTTCCCTACCCACTTTATTCCTGCCCAGGGACTCGGAAATCTCTCTTCTCCTTCCAAATTCCACAGGACACTTGTGCGCTCACACGTGCTTGCTCCAATCCCTACATCTGCCCACTGAATGAACCCTCACATTTTTGCACGGATACAACACCTCAAGCCCACTTACATTCTCTCATGCCTGCACCCCCCGTGCATGCTCACACAAGTGCACCCCTCACACGTGCCACATTCTTGCACGTGAGCACCCCCACTTGCTCTCCTCTTGCACACTTTTAAGTCATGCCCACCCGTCTTCCTGCATCCATTCGCGCATTCTAGCACATACCCACTGCCCTGGGGAGGGCGGATCTTTTCAATGAGTTGGGAAGAAGGGCAGTGAACCAGAGACTAACAGGCTCAAGGCACGCCTCCCAATCAACTTCTTTCTGCCCCCCACCCCGACCCCCGGTGTCCCAGGCGCCAGCCCCAATCAGAACTCTGCAGCCTACCAGCCGCTGGTGTGGTTCTGGATCCTGCTCGGCCTGGCCTACTTCGCCTCAGTGCTCACCACCATCGGGAACTGGCTGCGAGTAGTTTCCCGCCGCACTCGGGCAGAGGTAGGCACCCGTGCGTCGGCGCTGCGCCTGCGCTGTACCGTAGTAGCAGGTTGACCAGCCTACCTCCTTTCCAGAGTGTGGGCTCCCCAAGGCAGAGATTGAGGGAGCCCCAGTGTGCACCAACTGGGAACAAAGGGATAAATTCCGGACAGGTTTGCAGGTGACTCTATCTCTACTCTCATGGATAAGGTTACCAGATTTCGCAAAAAGATGAAGGAAGCCCAATTAAATGTGAATTTCGGATAAATTGCAAATAATATTTGAGTGTAAATATGTGTCAAATATTGCATGGGGCATACTTATCTTAAAAGTTTATCTATTGTTTATCTGAAATTCACATTTAACTAGGCGACCTGTATTTTGTAATTCTACTCCTTGCACCCGGTGGTGGAGCGGAGTCCGAGTCGATAGAGGCGCAGAGGTCTCTGGGGGAACGGGAGGGAGAGGTGAAATAAAATCGAGGCTTTTCTTCTCCTGGAGAGGGTGCAGATGGAGGAGGGGAGAGCACGTGGCTGGGTGATGAGCCTTTCCCTACTCCTGAGGCGGGAGAACCAGGCAGAAAAGGGGCAATGGCTGATTGGCGAAGGGGCAGGCTCCTGGGGTTGTGGAGACGGTCGAGGACCCCCGGTCGAGGACTGCCTTTCCTCCCCGCGCAGATGGGCGGTCTCACGGCGCAGCCGCCAGCTGGACCGGCACGGTGACCGCGCGGGTAACCCAGCGAGTCGGGCCCACGGCACCACCGCAGCAGAGAAGAGCGGCACCCTGCCCCACCGCCGTGCCCAGCGCAACCTGCCAGCAGGCCC